GTCGGTGGTTTAGAGCGTTTCCTCTTCCACCCTCCTTCTTCCCCTTCGGGGAGGGTTTACCCCTCCCCCTACCCCGTCCCCACTGACCTGGACAGGGGGTTCCGCGGCGCGTTGGAGCGCCCAAGATGGCCCAAGACGGCTCCAAGAGGGCCTCAGGGAGCCCAAGATACCCTCCAAGATGGCTCAAGATAGCGCAAGATGCCTCAAGATGGTCCCCATGATGTTCCAAGACGGGCCAAGAACTCTCCAAGACGGTTCCAAGTGCCCACAAGAGCATCATTAGGATGCATCCAAGAGGCCAATATGCTTCAACACCCAAGGGAAAATCAATGTTTTTGGTGTTCTCACTTTTTCGCTTGCGATGCACATCCGAAGCGTCAAGATGGCTCCAAAATGGCTCAAGATAGCTCCAAGAAGGGCCCAAGAAAGCACCATGACGGCGCCAAGAGCGCCGAAGAACGCTCCAAGAGCGGTCCCAGAGCGGTACAGGAGACGATGTTTGGAGTTCCTGGGGGGGAACTCTAATTAAGGAACCCTATTTCCTTGACCGATGTCCTCCAAGATTGCCCCAAGAGCGCCCCAGCAGGGCCTTCAAGGGCGCCCAGACGGGCCCAAGAGGAGCCCAAGCTTCCCAAAATAGCTTCCCAAAAAGTCCCACCAGCCCTCCGGGCGTCGGTGGTTTAGAGCGTTTCCTCTTCCACCCCTCCTTCTCCCCCTTCGGGGAGGGGTAAACCCCTTCCCCACTGACCTGGACAGGGGGGGCCGCGGGTACTTAGAGCGTCCAAAATCGACTCCTGGGAAGGCTAACGTTCGACACCCCTCACGAGGATCGTGGCTCTTGATGGGGGGGGGCTGTAATTAGGGACCACCCCTTCGTTGATCGATCTCCTCCAAGATTGTTCCAAAAGGCGTCTTGGACCCCCTCTTGGGCTCTGCGCGCGGGCGGGCGGAGCGCCGCCCGCCCGCCCGCAAGGCCCAAGAGCCCACCAAAACGTTCGAAGACACTTCCAATACGCCACCAGGGAGGAGGAAGAGGCGGAGGAGGAGGAGGAGGAGAAGGAGGAGGAGGAGGAGGAGGAGGAGGAGGAGGAGGAGAGGGAGGAGGAGGAGGGAGGAGGAGAAGGCGGAGGAGAAGGAGGAAGATGGGGAGGAGAACAGCTGCCGATCATCGGCGCTCTTCGTTCGAGTGCCTGGTGTAGGATGGGCTGGCGGGGATACGCGAAGCGTCAAGAATTCCATCGGATCATGGTGTTGGCCTGCCGCGCTGCTCTGTCGTACTGGTCTGCCGTGCTGCTGGGTCTGCCGCGCTGGCCTGCCCTGCTGCTGTGGTTTGTCGTGTTGGTCTGCCGTGCTCCCGTGGTCTACCGTGCTTGTCTGCCGTGTTCCCGTGGTGTGCCGTGATGGTCTCCGGTGCTGCCGTGGTCTGCTACGTGTACGTGTTGGGTGCGTGCTGGGCGGGCAGGCGGGAGGGGGAGTACGGTGTGCACGCGGGCCGCGTGCTTGGCGGGTGGACGCCTGTGGTCTGCCGTGCTCCTGAGGTCTGCCGAACTCCTGTGGCATGCCGTGCTCTCGTGTGGTCAGCCGCGCTCCTGTGACGTGTTTTGATGTGTTCCTGTGGTCTGCCATGCTCCTGCGTGGTCTGTCGTACTCCTGTGTGGTCTGCCGTGCTCCTGCCAACTGCCGTGCTCCTGTGGTCAGCCGTGCTCCTCTCGTCTACCGTGCTCCTATGATCTGGCGCGCCATGCTCCTGTGTGGTCTGCCGTGCTCCCGCGGTTAAAGTTAAAGTTAAAGACGGGGCCTTCAAGGCGTAGTGGTGGGGCCAAATGGCCAATAAAAGGACACGCTCTCCCGAGAGGGGCCGCCTAGGGCCGCCTCTCGCCGCGGGGGCCGCACTGGGCCTTCACCGCGCGGCGCCTCAGGCGAGAGCAGAACTACACACAGCGTGCAACTGCCCGCCTCACTCTTCACTCCTGGGCCGCGTCGTGGAACGCGCACGGTCCAAAAGAACATCGAGGAGCCGCTGACGCTCCTCGGCATTTGGGCCACCTGCACCTCCGAGGCGGACGCCGAGGGCGCGGGCCTCGGCCAAGTCCAGGAGTGACTCAACTACCGACTTCGGCCCGTTGGCCGCACACGCCACCGCCGCCACCGAGAAGCCGTCCAGGAACGAAACGAACACGCCCTCCGAGCTCGAGTGGCCCTCGCCCTCGGCGCAGACGACGCTGTCCGCGACCAGGGGCGGCTCCATGTCGTCGCTGACGACGCTACTACCGTCCAGGTGCGGCACGACGTCGTCGGCATACTCGACGGGTCCACGCGTAGACGGCCTCGAAGAGTCAGCATCGCTGGCACCAGCCAAACCGTCCACGCTGCCACGACCGCCAGCACCAAGCTCTGCACTAGCACGTCCCAAGATGGGAGGCAGCGGCCCACAGCCTGCAGTACCTCCAGGGACCTTCTGCGCCCCGAGGGCGGCGGCAACGGAGCAGGAAGAAAACAC